TTCTGCCCTCACATCAAAAAAGAGAGGTGAGGCATATCATTGTAGTTGGTGTTTAAGTATATTTTTATTATTTTATTTTTTTAAGATGTTATTTATTTTTAGAGAGAAGGGAAGGAAAAAGAGAGGGAGAGAAAAATCAGTGTGTGGTTGCCTCTCATACACCCTGATCGGGGACCTGACCCGCAACCCAGGCATGTGCCCTAGACTGGGAATTGAACCAGCAACCCTCTGGTTCACAGGCCTGAGCTCAATCCACTGAGCCACTGAGCCACACCAGCCAGGGCTTTATTGTTATTTTAAACGGCATTTAAGTTTACTTCCAGGTTCAACAGGAGTTTTCATTCTGCTTCCTCCTACATAAATACTTCTACAAGTTAATAGAACTAAAATAGTTCAGACCCACTAGTTCAGACCCTCCCTTGAAATCTAGTCCCTGGGAACATCTTTTCTTTTTTTTTTTTTTAAGAGTTATTTATTTATCTTTAGAGGGGAAGGGAAGGAGAGAGGAAGAGAAATATCAATGTATGGTTGCCTCTAGTGCATCCCCTGCAGGGAACTGACCTGCAACCCAGGCATGTGCCCTGACTGGGAATTGAACCGCGATCCTCTGGTTCACAGGCCCGTAATCAGTCCAGTGAGCTACACCAGCCAGGGCTTGAGAACATCTTTTCTTAAACGCTTAAATAAAAGTATCTGCAAGAACCTTCTGACCCATTGGAAATTTTCTTGTCCTGCCATCTGAAATGGATTTGGCCTTCTCTGGGGGTAGAGCTGTGCTTCAGGGTGTCACTTCAGGGTGTTCGAGCAGGAGGTGTGCAAGGGGGCGAGGGGAATGCAGAATCACTGAGGGGTAGGCGTAGGGGCAGACATGTTGGGAGGGTGTTGAGCACCCTGAGTCGTCTGAGGGCAGAGCTGCTGGGAGGCAGTGCTGGCCACTGTATGAGCAGGTCCCCAGCCGGTGCTTCCCTTGGGCCTCACACAGCAGAGGGCTGGCCCGGCTAAGCTGCTCCACTCCGGGTGGGCAGCTCATTCTGTGTGCCTATGTCTCCTCCGTTTGTGGTTTCTGGTCGGTTCCCAGCTGGCCTAGACTTGCTCTGAAGGAGAAACCGCTGTCTAGCAAAAAAAGTGCACACCGGGTGATTGATGAACTCTTAATAGAACTAACCTCTCCCGCCCCTCACCCCCCACCCGAGACACACACTGAGAAATAATTCACCCCAGCCCCCTCCCCAGACCTCCTCACTGGTCGGGGGGACTAAGCAACCAGCCCTTTGGGTGATTAAGTCACTACACTGTTTGTCTTTCCAAAGTATTCCAGGTGGGTTCAGGAACAGCCACCCACCCCTCAACCACAGCACCCTGGTCGTGCAGAGAGGTGGGCAAAGGAAGCTGAAGCACGCACGCATGTCACTTGGTGGTACAGCCCAAACAGGTCTTTGTTCAGCCTGATGACTGACCGGGAAGAGGGGGCGAGGGGGGTGCTATTGTTACCCACGGGGGAGGGAGATGCTCAGACTCGGGGTCCATGGCAGCCTCCTCCCCAGAGCATCCCCAGGTCTGAGGACTGGCAAAGGTGTCCTTTGTGTGTGCTCTGCCTGCCACAGGATGGTGTCCTTGCTGCCCCAGGGGGCAACAGACTTGGGGGTGGGGTGCCAGGTCTGCCTCTGACTCCCTCCAGCTCAGTTCATTTGACCCAGTTTCCCGACTCTGCCCTTGCTTTGAATAATAGATCCATAAAAAGGCCCTCTCCCTGTTTCCTTATAACTTGGGGATGTTCTGCCCTCCTTCAAAAAGGCCATGACCCAACAGGTCCTCCGTCTAGGGCTGGTTTGAGGCCTGCTTCCCCAGAAAAAAACACTTCATGTGTACCAGGGTTCCCCATGAATCCTGATTTAAATTAAGAGCTTGTACTTGGGCTCTTGCTAATGTTAAAACTCTATTTTCATGATTTTCCAGATAGTCTTCTATAGAAATGATTCATAGTAACTATAGAAAACAGTCAAGATACTTTGCCACAAGATCTAGGACAGAGGACTCGGCAATCTTTCCCACCTTGCAGATCTCCTGGGGACCCTTCATCTGATTCTGCAACTGCAGGTGATTGGACATCATTTACCTTGGCTAATCCTTCGCAGGTGCAAACCTTTTGTTCACTGTGCATCAGGCTGGCCCTGGCCAGAAAGTAGGTTTTTAGATTGTCTTTGTACCTTTCCAACTTGCCGATGTGGGTATGAAACCTGCTGGAAGTGTTTAGGTATAGGCTTCAGGTCAAGTATGTAAATTCATTTGGCACCAACTTTGGATCCCAAAGGTAAGGGTATTTGTACCTGGCCTAGAAGACCGGGACACAGTGAGAACTAAGGTTTCCTTCTGTGATGATCCTCCCCATCAACTAGCACTACCAGTGCACTAAATGCGGAAGTTTCATCTACCTAATCTCTTCTCTCTCCTCCAGGCCTTCTGCAAAAGAGATCTGAATGAGCCAGACCTCAGAGGCCCTGAGGGTGGGGCTGGTGACTCAGTCTCGGCTGCCTGTGCCCAAACAGTCTCGGTAAACAGGTCAGCTCATTCTCTCTGGGAAGTGGCTGCGCTCTCAAGTGATCAGGCTGTACACCTGTGAGGAATGAGCGCTTTCTGCTCTTCATTTAATACTCAACAAACTTAGGTTCAACAAACCTGTTCTTTTCTTACAGTTTCTGAAAGAAGGGCCAACATAATGCCAAGAACTCTCAGATGAAGAGGACCTTTCTCGATCTATAACTGGGATTAATCATTTCTTTCGGAGGAAGTTTCCACTAATTCTCAAGATAAATCAAAACAGTCCTCTGACTGTCCTTTAAATACTGAAAGTGTAAACAAGCGTGTGACTTCCCCAGGTCAAGCAGAGAAACACTTTTTAGTAGAAGTTGGGCTCCTCCTTTGTTATTCAAACATACGCCCACACACACCCTCTTCACCCTCCCGGAATGAAAAACCTCAACAGATGGAGAACCTAGGCTCCCTGAGAAGATGCACTCCACGCAAGGGTCAATCAGCCGGTAAAGAATGGGAGAGGGGGTAGCTAGCTCGTGTAGGTGATCGCCATCTTTTAAAACTGTTCAACAAGGTTAGCAGCCTCTGTGGCCTGGGAAACGAATTTGGCTGATGTGTCTCTGATAGAGACTAGGCTTGAGGCTGTATACCAAGGGGAAAGTACTCACTCTATATTCTCCCCCTATCATTTGAAAGCCTGTACAAAGAAATGGTAGAAATGGATGGTTAACTTAACGATTCCATCAGAGGTGGATTTTTCTCTGTCAGGTCCTTGGATAAAGCTGAGGTCTGAAAGCCAGGAGGCAGAATATGTACTTAATCGCCCTTTCTTATTGCCTTTCCAGGGGCCAGCCAGAAGTACCGGTACTCCTCAGGCCTTTCCTCCGCAACTTCCCCACCCCCACGGCTAGCTCAGTTGGGTCTCCCCCCATCACACCAAGCTAGGCCCTAACTTTTTCCTGGTAAGCAGGAGACGCTCTTGGTCTGCCTAAATCTCTTTCCCTACTGCCACCTCCCATTTTGCAGTGGACTATTCCTGCTGTCTCGCTTCCACCTCGCTGTAATTCACATTTGATTGAACAAACGACTGCCACTCCCCATCCACAGGCCCAGGCTTGAGACCCTAACCCGTTTCTTCAGGCCTCAGGAGGATCCCCCACAACGTCCCTGATCCCCCATCTCTTCGAAAGCGGTTTCTACAGGGAGGAAAAAGCCGAGCTAGTTATCAAGGTCTGAGCCAAAGAGCCATTTCCTCCCTGTGGGCAAATGAGGTGAACCTCCTGGAGACCAAGGCCCGAAGCTAGGCCAGGACCGTCCCCACCTCCAGTTGCCCAACCCTGCCTTTGCGTGGCCCCTGCCTCCGAGGAGCCCGTGAGGAAGAAGCTACGCACACAATGGTGCAGCCGCCTCCCAAAGAACGGCAGCTCTGGGCGCCCTCGACCCAGCAGCCGGCAGCGAGGGCCGGCAGCCTTGAGGCCTTCGTGCGTCCCCTATTGTCCCTGTGTCGGGCGCACACACGCTAGAGTGGAAGTTTGCTTCTCTGACAGCTGGCTCTTCCCAATGCTGATCTTCCCCAAGAGAAGAGGCCTGGGCCCAGAGCACCGCAGCAGGGCCCGCTCCCCTCCCCCAACTCCTTTCTCTGCTGGGGGAGGTGCGGTGGCGGGTGCCTCCGATAGAGCAGCGATTGTGACCTTCCACGGAAGAGTGGGAACCCAGCCGAGTGTGTACCGCCGGCCATGGCGGGGGAGGAGGCGACTGTGTGCAAACCTCGGTGCGGAGGGGAAATAAATAAAACTTGGCAACCTCGGGCAGTCGGGCCCTTCAGAGGGCGTTTGGTTGTGTTTAGACTCTGGTGCTTCCTAACACTAATTGCAGGCTCAAAAGGAGCAGAATTTATGGCGAAAGCCAAGGCGGCTTGTTTATAATTTATGAAGTTTTAAATGGCTGTGTCGTGGCCCCGGTCTCGCCCTGGCCTGTGGCTGTGTGAGAAGCGTCCGCCCAGACTCCCCACCCGCGCCAGGAGCGACTCAGTGTAGCCCATCTGAGCCTTTCCCAGAAACCTGAGGAAACCATTCCCCATGAAGTGAGAGCGAGGCCGAGATTCGTCCCAAGAGAACTCCCCGCCCCCCTCGAGAAGGTGCCTTGGGGCAGCGGTGGCTGCCTAGAGAGGGAGCCCCTAACCCCGCGCTTCGCTGGAGCCCGAGTGTGAGAGGTAGCTAATGTCAGCCAGGCTAGACACTGTTTAAAGTCTAATCCATGAAACCTTAAGCCACAGATGACACTTGGGGCCTTGCAGACACCCGCAGACTCAGCAGATACTCCTGCGGTAACAGACCGCGCTGGAAAACGCCTGGAGCCACGATGCATTATGTATTTTTATTATTACTCATGGCAGAAAGAGGAGATGAGGGAAAAACGGGCTGAATCTAAGCAGCCTAACAATTCATCTATTTAATATTTAGCCAGTTAAGAAAGGTGGTTGTTATCCCTGCAAGGCAGAAAGCTCTTCTTTGATTTCCCTAATAGTTTAAAAAATAATTTCTTACAAGATAATTAGAAATACTGCCTTTGGATGCAAATTTCATAGAAAACAATTTTAAGCCTTGAAAGTGGGTACACTATCCCTTCAGTTGAAGTCATTTATTCTGCGGATACACTTCTACAACATACTTTAAACCTGCTCAGAAAAATGTGAAATTTAGCAAAAGGATAACCCCCTCCCACCCCCAATCTAACATGCCATTTTAAAAACAGCACAAAGGAACAGGGAAACTAAATTATTTCTTGAGCCATCATTACTTAGCGAAACACAAACATCCAAAGAGAAACGATTGTTGTTCCACCAGAAGATCAGAAGTTAAATTATTTCCACACAATAGGAATTTCACCTCGTGTCACCAGGGATGTAGTAGGAGTCGCATTATTTGTCAAACCAAATAGAAATGTGTGGGCCGACTTTGCTGAAATACAAAGAATTGAACCTTATCTGAAGGCGTTTGCCAAGTGCCTCCTCCCAGAGAAGTGGGTGGGAATTGTCCACCCCTAGCTAAAGCCACACTGTTATTTACAAAATGCTTATAAATCCTTGGAGACATTTCTTACCTATTTAATACAAAGAACAGGAGTAAACAAGGTGTTTATACTTATGTTCCATTAATGAAACTTTTATTACTTTATATCATGGGGAATGTTTGTTTTCTTTCGAAATGAACCAGCAACCACTATAAAGGAAAATGTCATGACATCGTTTCCTACAGAAAAGGCTTATTAGGTGCGCGTCTCCAAAGGATCGTTTCTTTCTTTTCTTTCTTTTTTTTTGCACCTTAGCTTTTTCATAGCTCAATTCTTACAACTTTGCTTCTGTCTCTATTTTTTTTTTTGATTGTCAGGTTTTTTTTAAGTTTTTTATTACTTAACACAGAAAAGAGAGCTCGGGCCTCCCCAGTGTGAACGCAACGTAAAAATGTGGATTTGTATCTAGAAAGGGGGGAGGCAGGTAGAAACTGCAAAGCAGGCTCAATACAAAGCCCTACCCCCAATCACTCCCTCCAACATTTCTAGGTTTGCATCCTCAGATTTTTCCCCTTAATGTCAATAGCTGGGCTGTAATCAGGTATCCCTAGAACCAATGTATGTATTATATTCGAGATGCATGAAAAAAATATTTCAGTGGGTCAGCCTATTTGGGGGCCTTCCACGGGGATTGTGGGAAAGATAAAGGCAGTGATCTATTTGCAAGTGTGTGTGATTAACACAGATACTCTTCTGACTGAGAATTTTTTTATTCTAAATATTTGTTCAAATAGTACCAGACAATTTGAAATCAATAAGCTGTGTCGAGTTGGAGGGCTACGGCTGTTGAGAAATGAGTAACGGGTGTGTCTACCCATGAAGGACATTTTGCGGTCTTGATCCTTTACATCAACTACAAACACCAGCCACGGTTACAACTGTTCAAAAACTACTCTCTTTAACTAATTCAGACCAAGGGGACTAAAGAGGTGAAATGTGGACCCCAGGGCCTGGGAGCGCGTTCCGAAGCTGGCTGGAGAATTCTACAAATATACACATAAATACATTAAGACGAGGATAAATAATCAGAGAAACGAAATGACTCGCTTCAAATAATAAATACAGATTGTTGAGTCCGATGCAATCCTTACGGGACGGGAAGGAGCATATAAATTAAGGTGTCCGCAACTAAGCTAGACACAGGCCAGGCCCGGAGCTCTCCAGGCTCTGGCCCTCTGCAGAGCTCGCCGCCGATGGCTCTCAGACTTACCTTCGGGACACCATTACCAGATTAGAGTCCCTCGGTCCGCGGTACATGGCACTGTCGGGCTTACAGAGGACAATCCTTGCGGCTGATTTATGGCAAGTCACCCAAAGGAGGACGCGCCAGGAGGGGAGGCCCAGTCTCCTGAGCCTCGGCCGCTGTTGGCCCGAAACCAGGGAGGCTGCGACCCTGGCTAGAGTGAGGGAGGAGTCGCCCGCTGCCCTGCGGGCCCCGCCCGCCACCCCCGCCACCAAAGCAAAAGAGGTAACTGGGCCACTACTTCGGGCCGTTGGCGGCCGCTACAGATGCGTCAGTTTGGGGGCCTCGGGCAGGCGTCCCTGAGACGAGTGGTGGGCCGAGAGATCTGTGTAAGTGGGGTGAGGGTCGCACGGTCCGTGGTGGTGGTTTCCGGGGATCTGCGCTGCGCAACTGTAGTCCACGCTGGCTGAGGACGGATGCGAGAGGTGGCCCAGGTTGAAGACGGGCCCGGACGCGGGCGCCATGGAGTCGACGAAGTTACCGCCCACGTACACCGGGCTGCCCTGCAGGTTGGCGCTGGCGAAGCCGCCCCCGTTGCTCGCCATGGGGTGGGGCTCAAACTCGGGCGCCGCGTAACGCTTCTGCTGTGGCAGGCAGCTGCTGAGCGGCGCGGTGTAGGCGGTCAGGCCGTACATGTTGGGCTGAGATTTGGCGAACGCGGGAGGCGAGGGCGCATCGTAGGCTAGGCCGGGCACCGGCGGCAGCTGACCGGAGTAGGCCACGTGGCCGGCAGAGCCACCGAGCGGCGGGCTGCGCTCTGGCGACTGACCGGCTGGCGAGTGCAGGATGCCCTTGGCCTTCTGGTCCTTCTTGTACTTCATGCGCCGGTTCTGGAACCAGATCTTGATCTGGCGCTCGGTGAGGTTCAGCAGGTTGGCCATCTCCACGCGGCGTGGCCGGCACAAGTAGCGGTTGAAGTGGAATTCCTTTTCCAACTCCACCAGCTGTGCACTCGTGTAAGCGGTGCGCACCCGCTTGGACGCTGGGCCCGGCGGGCTCTTGTCCTCGCAGCTCTCTCCTGGACAGGAGGGAGAGAGAGGGGCTCTGAGAAGGAGAGGTGGAGACACCCAGGGATGGAAGGGGCGCTTCCCTTGTTCCCTCCTCTTCCCTCTCCTCCCCCCCCCCACTTTAATCCTGGCTGGAGTGGGGTGGAGCTGTTTGGAAGGTGAGATTCGAAGAAGAAACTCACCAGCCCCAAGCCTACTAATCAGTCGCACCTGAAACCCCCATCTGCCTCCTGAGGTTGATCCTCTCTGTCCAACCCCTCCCCTCCCAAAGGCCGTGGAGGAGTTTAATGGGAGACTAGTAGCAGCTGGTAAGGCCTCTGCTCTGTCAAAGAAGGGCCAGACTTCTTTGAACACTCCTCCTAGCCTCTGCTGGGGGAGGGGAGTGAGGGGACAGTCCCAGCCTGCCTTGCTCAGGGGCTGGCTCCTGGGCAATGTACCCAGGAAGTGAGGACTGAGGATGGAGATCTTAGCACCTCACTCCAGCCCAGCTGCATCCGAAAGCTTTGCATCCAAATGCAGGGAGATGATAAACCATAAAATTACTGCCCCAGAGTTATGGAGGATACAAGGCTAGGCTGGGAGCATTTGAGTATTGCAGTGCTAGTACCAGCAGCCTCAACACTGGTTTCCACCACCCCTGCCACCTCTCAGCAGCTTGTCCACTCCCTCACTGGGAAGACAAATGGATTTCTCCTGGGAGGGAGGGCCTGTGCCTGCAGCTGGGAAGGAGGGGCAGGAGAAGGAGCTTACAAGCTGGAAGATACTTTCCCTCCAGGAGCAGCAGCCCCAGAGAGCAGCAGGCAAACTAGAGACCTGATAACAGGCTAGCTACATCTCAGACTGCAAAGTGGCCCTGAACCTGCAAGCAAGTTCATCTACTTGAAGATAAACCACATCAGAGAACAAAAGGCCAGAAAATTTCAGGAATGGAGCAGGCTGAGAAGAGAGAGAGGCAGCAGGCCTCGGAGCTCCTGTCCCTGCCCATTGTCCACATACCCTGAATGGACCTAGAGAATATCTTCTCAACTCTAGGGTCTCCCTTGGCAGGGAGAGAAGCATAAGGCTGCCCCTGTTTCAGAGCCCACCCTCCTCTCCTAGGATATGCCCCTCCCTATTACGGATTTGCTGGGATGGTGAGACCTGGGCTGGGAGTAAAGCACTTAGGATGGTTCTTAACATAGCACTTCATAGACTTTATTCTTATTAACTTAAGAGATTGGGAATTCATGTGATGTGGACTGCATAGCCACCTGGGCTCAGGGAATGATACCTGTCTTCAAATTTCGAAGAGCTACTGGATGGAAAAAGGAGCTGAGTTATGGCCAGCAGCCCAGGAAAGCAGTTATTAGGTCAGTATAAGGAAGAGCTGTCTATTAATAACTATGAGACTTGCCCAGCTATGGCACCAACAATCTGGAATGGAAGTGAGTTTCCTGTCACTGTAAGGGTATGACCCCCAATAAGGAACACTAAAAAGAAGGGACATTTCTGTGTCAGGCATTTAGACATATGGCCTCCAAGGTTGTACTTGCAGCCTGAGTTTCTTGGTTCCTAAGTAAACTAGCTTCTTGGTTGGGGTCAGTGTGGTGGGGATTTAGTCCAGGGCTAAGCTCCCTCTGAGAGCTACCTGCAGTGGCACAGCTGTTCTTCTGCTTCGAGTTCTGCCGGGACTCTTTCATCCAGGGGAAGATCTGCTTGCTGATGGTGGCTGAAGAGCCAGAAGCATTGGGACCACCCTTGGCCTTCTTGGCAGGCACTCCACCTCCGGGATTGGTGGGTGAAGATGGGGGCAGGGTCGGTGGTGGAGGAGGGGGCTGTGGTGGCTGCTGCTCTGAGTTCAGACCAGGAGGCTGACTGCCCCCACCCCCACCCTGGCTGTTGCCAGTGCCAGGCCTCATGCAGCTGCCATTGAGTTCAGCCCCTTTGTGAGATGGGGCCCGCATTGGTGCAGAGCTCTGGATAGAGCAGGCAGAACCTGGGTAATCAGTGTCCAGGGAGTTGGCAGCAGCAGGGGGTGGATAAGGCTGATGAGGGGCACTGTAGCCATAAGTGTCAGTGGCTTTGCTGTAGCCATAGCCTCCAAAAAGTCCTGGGTTGTCATAGTAAGCAGCCTTCTGCATCGTGCACTCAGGAAGCTCCAGGGCCTGCTGACCCTGCTCAAATAACATTGACCACCACTGTCTCCTTCACTGCCACCTCCAATGTCTGCCAAATCCTGAGAGAGCTGGGGCAGCCCCAGGCTCCAGTAGACCTGCAGAGAAGAAAAGTGAGAGGCCCCAGCAGGGCTGTCATTGGCAAGACCAATCAATATAGGACTAGCTTAGGCTCTCTGCTTCTCACCCACTTCATAGTGGGAATCTGGAATTCTATGAAATTCAACTTATTTGACCCCTTGGAAAAGTCAGAAGTTATTTCTCATAAGCATAAGAAAATACATTTTCTTCTTTTTAGCTACATCCAAAGGAAGGGACTTTTCTTTTTTTTTCCAGATATAATTTTCTTTCTCCAAGAGTGTCAATTTAGCATTTGGAACTGCATCAAAAAGCACTTGTGGACTTACACACTTTAATGGCTGATTCTCCCACTTGACTTTGAGTTCCTTGCAGGCAGGGATTGTGTCTTATTTATTAATATATTCCTAACATCTAACCCAGGGCCCCAAATATAGTAAGTGCAATAAATGCTTATTGAATGGGTGAATGAATGAATGGATCAGTCAACCATGGGGCCATCTCAGGGTTTTGATGGGCAAAAGAAAGCCATATAACCTACTCAAAATAGCCAGAGCTCTCAAAAAAAGTATCTCCCCCACCTGGTTTCAGAATCTCAGCATCCTTCATGAAGACCCAGATAGTCCACTTTCTGGTGACAGGGTGAGAATCGGCCCAGTTAGCTCTGGGGGTCAACTGTGAAATCTACTAGGAGATAAAAACCAAGAAGAGGACTTAGAGACTCCGGACTTATTTTGAGGCTAGAAAATGTTTCTTCTCTTTCATCCACATTTTTCTAGACTCCTAACTTGGTCCTCCACTACTTTTAAATGGATACCACTGAAAATGGGTGAAGAGATTTAGAATTTGAAATGCAGGGAGCACAGATAAGTGGAGAATGCTTTATAACTATCGTTTTTTATTCTGCACCTATTGTGTAGATACTATTATTTACCTCTGCTCTGCATCATTCATTCTACCACCACTATCTAACTCACAGCCGGTGAGAGAGCTTCTATTGGCATAATGAATGGACCCAGAATTAGAATTAGAAGGAGGGAAAAAACACCTAAGAAAAATTCTACTACCCCTTTTGTGTCCTCTGACTCTTGATAGACATTTCCCTTCTTACCCACCCTCCCCATTCTCCTTAAAGGCTCCTAAGGAGTTAAAGTATAACTAATACCATTCAACTACTTTTGTCTACTTAATAAAGAAAACTCATTGGTCAGCTCCCTGGCCTTCATTCTTGATCTCTTCTTTCAGGCAACTTTTTTCTCCCACAACTCCCTGTCTTACATCATGGTCATCAAGGTGGACTGCATTATCTAGACAACTTACGTGGCCTAATGGATTTGACCACTAGTACCAAAATCACTTTCCAGTCACTCGTTTCCCCTCAACTTCACCAAAAAGCCTAACTAGATTTTAAAAAATTAATCAGCCCTGGCCAGGTGACTCGGTCAACTGGAGCATTGTTGCCCACACACTGAAAGGTTGTGGGTTCAATTCCTGGTCAGAACATATACCTAGGTTGTGGGTTTGATCCCCAGTTGGGTCATGTGTGGGAGATAACTAATAAATGTTTCTCTCTGTCTCCCTTCCTCTCTCACTAAAATCAATAAAAACATATCCTGTTTTTAAAGGATTTTTTAAATAATTTAAAATAAATTAAAAATCACTCATACTAGCCTCTGTTTGGTACTATTATTGCCCATTTTTGTTCTAAAATATAAATGGCCATTTATCTAAAGATAAATGGTCATTTATGTTGATAGGAGGCCCTTCTCAATGGATAATCGAATACTAGGATGTTATATTTTGGGAATCATTTCTACAGTTGTTATTAAAGGTATGCATTTAGGGTATCTACTCAACAAAGCCGATCTTAATCTTCCTCTCAATTCATTTTCTATATTCTCTGACTCTTAGAATTACTGATTATCAGACGGACAGCCACCTCCTCATCCTCCGACTAATATTTATGTGTCCCAGGCAAGGGCACCAGGGACTCGAAGTTGGCTTCAGTCTCCGTACTATTCTGAGATCCTGCTTTCAGTCTTACACTTTGGGCTCCCTGGATGTCCAAATGGTCACATTCGAACTCGCTGCTGCTTCTGTCGACAACAGTGGAAGAAAAACATCCCCCTCTTGTCTTCCAGGTTGACCAAGTTATCTTGGTAGGTGGACCAGTCATATTTAAAAAGGTTCTTTAGGAACTGACCAGGTCTTTGAAACAGATGGCTTCACACATATATTTGTTCCTATGGCATATTCCTAGAAAACACTCTGTGTACAGATAGTGGGCAGCCTCATGGGTAACCACGGAGTTTGTTCTGTTTTCGCTGAATTCAGGGACTTCCAGGCACACACAGTGGTGGTTCACCACCCCACCATCCACCTCCCGCGCAGCCATGGCAGCAGCCCTCTCCTAAATGGGAAGGGCTTTGCTGTCTCCCCCAAACCCCAAAATACATACTGCCCTAAAGAAGCCACCTCTCCTAAAACAGAACCTGAGAATATTGTCAGAAAACTGTTTTTTTTTTTTTAAGCTTATTTCTTTCCAGAAATCCCTATTCCTTGTGAACTCTGCCTGAACCTAAAAAGCAGGAATGGGTCATAAATCACTTGGACAATGGTCAACTGTTCAGTGGCTCATCTTTTCGACCACCCCCCACCCTTTCTTTAAGGCTTTCTTTTCTCACCCTTTGGTACCTCTGCTCATTTGGGCTCTGGGACCCAAATGCCTTGGGGTGAAGACAAGCCCCTGTAGGGGGAGGGGCAGTCTTCCAAGTCCTCAGCAGCCCTTTCCTCTCACTCTTCCTCCCCTCCCCCCCCACCCCAGACCAGGGAACCGGCGGGGCAGCCTCCCCAGAACCCTGCCGGCGCCACCCCCGGCCCCTCGGGGACGGGGCGCCAAAAGGGGGTCGAGATGATCCCTTCTGGAGCTCCCGAGAAGCTGACGGAAGGAAAGCGGCCTCTAAGCGATCACCGCCCACCCGCTCCCCAGGCCGCGTTGCCCGCCGCACCCACCGCCCTGCGAAACAGCCGAATCCAGATACTTGCTCACTGCACTTAATTCTGCCCGGGATCAATACCTAATATGATACCGAATAAATAAAAGGCGCTCACAGCGGCCAGGGGACGGGGTTATTAAGCAGCTGGAGCTCTCACGGTGCATATCAATGCACCTGTCATTGTGGTTTGTAACAAAATTTATGACTGCGAGCGCGGCGGCAGTAAACGCTTCAGTAAGGAATGAAAAGAAAAACACTTCCCCAGGCCCGGCACTTTTCAGAAGTGGAAAACCGACTGAACGTAGGAGGAAGCGCAGCAAAAGAATGCCCCACTCCGCATTTTCCCGGCCCGCGCCCCCGGAGCAGGGGACTATATAAAGTGGCCGGTGCCGCCTCTCGGAGCAGCTCTGCCGGGCGGACGCGGGGCCTCGCCGAGGCCGAAGACCTGCTGCCCGCAGGGCCCGGGGCCGCCCGAGGGCCCGCTTGCGGGTCGCGCGGAGGCTGCGGGTCGCTAGGCTGCCCGAGGCGGCCGTGGGAAGGGCGAGGGGCTTGGGGACTGAACGGGCGGCCTCTCCGGGCTGTGACTGGCGCTCTCTGGTCGTAAACCATGGATAGGTAGAGTCAGGTCATGCAAGTTGAAAGAGAAGAGGCAGGCGGTGGTGTGCTGGTCGCTTCTGTCCGTCTCACATTTTCCCAAGGTTCGTTCTAGTTGCCCTCGGCTCCTCTCCCTGTTTCGCCTAAACCAGGATCTTGGAAGCCCTCAGATCTCTTCTTCCAAGGACGGCTCTTGCTGGGTAACCCCATTAACTCACTGGAACTGAGCAAGGGTTCTTCCCTCCTGTTGGCTTTGCTACTTTGGGATTTTGGAACTACTCCCTTTCGGGTGTGCTCGTAAAGGGGGTGTATCTCTCCCCCCAGCTTTCTGCCCAAGTTCTCCTGCTCTCTCAGCCTGAGCCTCTTTTGCCCGATGGGGAACCCTGGACGGGCCTTCTAAATCACTCTTGTTTAGCCCAGACAACTCAGTACCCGTAATACACCCTGCATTTAAGGCACTGGGCTCACCACATTAAAGCGCCATAAATTTGAAGGGTTATCATGTAACCGTGGCAGTTCACACTGAGGTGATCCACCTCAAAGCTGCCCTTTGTTTTCTGTCTTGATGTGTGAATCCTGAGATGGCTACCTTGAGGTGCAGGGCAGATGAACATGGAGTGGGAATTATTATTTTTTAAATCATGTTGCTCGCCACAATTATGTGTATGAGTGTGTATATGTGTTTTCTTGAATTTTGTCTCTAACTCTTTTTGCAGGCTCTTCGGGTTCCTTTTGATATTCTGTTCAGGTGGATCTGGAACAAGATGGAAAACTCTAAGTGGCAGCCGGTACTTACAAACACATGTGGAGAGGATTCACCCTCTTTAAGGATGTCATAATCAATGTGAATATTGTAAAATGTGACTGCAGCCATTCAGGGTGCCTTCTCTCAGGCAGAAAAGAGACTTGTGGCTCCTGGGGAGCAAGAATCCTTTAACACCAAAATCCTTGACTGGTCAGAAGAAGGGGGAGCTGGACCTGAGGGAAGGATCACCGCCTTGGCTATGGGGGTGGGCCAAGTATGTCAGAGGCACAGAAAAACTAGTCCCTCTCCCCTGCTCCAACCAAGCTTTCAATCCTCCAGGTCAAGCCCACCCTTCTAGTAGCAGAAGAAGGGACTGTGCAGAATTGGAGTGGGAGGGAAGCTACAGCATAGCACCAGGAAAGGTCTGTGAATTATGTAGATGGGCCTGGGTGAGTCCCAATCAATGGCTGCCCAGGCAACCCGAGTAAAGTGGGAACTGGGTACTATTTCTTGGTTTGTACGTTATACATTGATGGTTTCCCTAAGTTGGTTTTATTCCAGTAGGTACCAGCCACATTCCTGACCTGGGTTTCCCACACAGCTGCTTAGGGATCAGGCTGCAAACCGACCGCCTAAGAAAGAAACATCCCTCTTACCTTTACCCCAAACAGACGGAGCTGCCCACCACTGCCGGAGCCCAGTGGGTACCTGCCCCGTCAGGTTAAAGTAGAGACACAATCCCCCCACTGGCATCTGTCCTGTGCAATTTGTCGACTCGGTAGTTTGCAAACACTAAACCGAGCTGGGGAAGCCCCACACAAAGCGTTCTGGGCCCTTTTAAAGACTAGAGCGAGCAGCCATAAGCCTTTGAAATGACCTTTGGCTCACTCGGCAATAACTCACCCTTAATGAACACCCAACGGAAGCGCCTCGGAGAGATCCCCGGCCGGGTAGAGATCCTAACATCGCGCCTGGACTTCAGCTTCCCGGCCGGCCGGGATCCAGGGGTCCACTCTGCTGGGCGGGCCCCAAGGGCTTCTTGATGAGGCGCGATGTACCCGGACCCAACGACCAGACCAGCAAATCCCAAAGCCGCTTTATATGATACATTCACGTGGATGGACGTCAACTTTTGCTGCTTGATTTTTAAAATTTATTTATTTTTGAAAAAAAGTGTTCCTTAAAAGTAGGAACTTCCCCTCAGAAGAAGGGCTAAATTGGGAACCCATCCAGAGCCCCAGTCCCTGGATGCAGGTAGCTAGATTTCATTTTCCCAGCCGCGGAGGAACAGGGTGAGTTTGCAACTGGGCACTGGGGTGCTCTACACACTCTGGATACAAGAGGCTTGGGGA